CCCCCTCCCTCCGCCTCCTCCGCGTAAACCCCCATCTTCCTTGTCGACTTCATCCCCTCCCCTCTCGCTGTCTATCTTCTACTTGGTATTCCGCATTTCAACTTTATCACTTCCACCCTCCAGCTTCTCCGCCTTCGACTACGGCATTCGGATACCCTGAAACTACCCCTATAGCTCGAGCCGCATCCCTTTCTCTTGGTATCAAGCAACCCTCGACTATAATACGTATACATATACATATATATATATATATATTTATCCCATACGTATATATCTGTCGACCCTATCGCTCTCTTACTTCAGGACACTTGAGACTCACACTACCCCGATTATCTGCATTCCGCCCTTCTGCTTCACTCTTCATCCCTTTCCTCCATGCTCTACCCAGCACTTCCAGTACTTCCAGTACTTCCAGTACTCTCGTATTCGCTCCAGGCACTCCCGCGCCACTACCGGCCCCGGCTCCGTACTCGCGACTTCTCTTTGCCTCGTGCATTAAAGTCATTATGCGACTCGGGGGGGGGATGTCTCCTCCATCGGTGGTCCACGTGATGCTGCGATGGGTAGAGATACGCTTTGCAGGATTATGTAAAGGATATTCCTCGAAGCCGCTTGAAAATCAGCCATCGCGTCGGAACGAACTCGGGTACGTTTGTCTTATTTTTTAAATAAATGTAAATATAAGCGGAAACCCGTGCGAGACTCTATGGGGTCCGGAGCGTATAGACACGGGAATGGATAAGGGAGTCCTCGAGGGGGGCAAAAAAAAAGATCTTAATAACGACGGGGACGAGGGAAAAATTATTATTCACAGGATCAGCTTCATCGGGCCGGAGAATAATTTAAAGTCGGTTTCCCCGTCGTCCTTTCACATCCTTATCAACCGTCGCTATAGTTTCTTAGCCGGGACAAAGGGCTGCGATTCCTACGGTGACAGCCTCCCCCCGGCTCCTCTGGCCAAGCCCTTGGACCAAGTAAAATGTGCGGGAAACGACAAGCTAGCGTCGTCCTACACGACCCTGTATAAACGGGTGATCTCTTAGGGGTGGTACGAAAAAAGAGAAAAAGGATTGACGAAATAAAAAAAGGGATATAATTTTCACGTTGGAAAATGTTTTATCGGCTACGACGTTGGATCCTATACGCGTAGAAGGGTGAGTCAGGCCCTGTGGCAATTGCCCATTTCTTAATTGCTGTAAATATTTAATAAGCCACCCGTTATACGTTCCGAACGACCAGCGCCGCTTGGGCGTTCCGTGAAATATGTCGGGGGATGATCGGAGGCGCCCAGTGCCGTAAAATTCTGGCATCTGGCACCCCTCTGTATATGCCTGTGTGCCCGTCTGCCCGACTACCCCCAAGAGGAATAAGACACCCTGTAGATTCCCGGTTTTCCCGCAAACCCCAAAGGAACCCCTTTACTCTCTTCCGTCCGTTCTATGCTATTTGCATTTTCACCCGGTACTTTCTCCAACCATCGGAGCAACGTACCACGTGAGATGCCCCGACACTGCACGGGACGTGGATTTGGAAAAGGCCACAAGCCCCTTATCGTTTGGTTTATACGTCGGTAAACGCCGGATCATCAATTCCATTTTTATTTCACCCCTTGACCGTCGGCGCCTTTGGGCCGACGGAGACGTCGCGAGGATCCGCCGGACTCGGAGGTGGTAAGTGTCGGTACCCTGGTCTAGGCCCTGCGAAGGGGATGACTGGTAGTACCGAAAGGGGTGGTTTAAAAGGGGAATCGACGATCGTCGAGACGCATTGAATAATGGAAAAGATGGCAGCGACGACCCTTGGGACTTTATGGGTTGAAAATGTGAAGGACCTCGTGCTTTGTAAACCGTAAAAGTGAAACGGATGAAAACCATTTTAAATGACTATCGATCGATCGACGCACCGCGAAACCAATATCAATTTGCTTTGAGACGCGACAGGTTTTCAAAGGTAACGGTGCAATAGCTCGGCCGGGTTTTCACTCCATACCACCGGCTACGGGCTATTAGGTTCGAGTAAAGAATGCAGGTATAAATACGTCAAGCTAATTCCCACCTACTGATCGAGGCATTCGATGCAAAGTCGAAATAGTGGGAAAAAAATAAATTTTTGCCGATACTCGGACATTTTAGAAATTTTTGGAATAATACGAAAAAAAAAAAAACCACAAACTGGTCGATTCATCGATACGGTTTGGATGCGGACGATGTATCGGGTAATACAATTCGGCAATCCCACGTGACTTGGCTGTATATCGATGTGTACAAGAGACAAATAAATCCGTTGAATTTTCTACTGCGATTGCCGTGTATAGAGGAAGAAAAGAAGATAGGAAAATAGTTACCGCTAATACGATTAGCAACCGACAGATATACCGAGCCTCTTCCATTCTTCTGGCAAGTGCGGGTAAAGCGGCATCTCGGCAAACAGAAAAAGAACTAGAAGAACGGTATCGAATAGGGAACGTAGGATAGTAGCTCGCCTTAGTCTAGACGCGAAGGCGCCGCTTGGGAAGCGCGCGCGTCTCGACGACATAGAGCGAACAGCCGACACCCTTAGGATGTTAATGACGTCAATCAATTAGAGGGTTCGTACAATGTTTTTTAAAATACCGTAATACAAATTGAAAAAAAAAAATTTAACTCAACCAACAATTTACACGATTCATATAAATTTCAAGGTCACGTTACCCGACCTCGCATCTCCTACAAGGAACAGATCTTTGCACTGTACACTTTACGTGGGTCAAATGATATTTTACAAGTGGATATACAGCGCCTCTAGGACCTGACGTGAGTACTAAGCAAGGGTCGCGCGCCTTCGTCGACTATGCTATAGAATTTTCAACCCCACTTCCAGGGGTTGAATAGAAATTATCCTATTGGACACCCTTATGCAACGCGTACGGGTATAAGCGAATTTTCATGATTTTTAATGTTTTAATTTTTTTTTTTTTTTTTTTTTTTTTTTT